CCGAAGCTTGGGACAGAACATTCTCCACATTGGAAGCAGACTTTTACCTTAACAAAGAGTTTAAAACTCAAGTAATTGGCTGGGATTATGAGTAAGCAGCGCAAAAAGAGTCAGACTATATTATCTTACTTTGGTGACAAAGAAGATCAAAACATACAACCAGAAAAAGACAATGAAGCCAAAGCTCCTACATCCAAAGCCTCCAAGAAAAATATGAATCAGTCCTAGGCCTTGGAAGAACTCAAAAGGGATTTTGAGAAGCAAGTAAGAGAAGTAGAGGAAAAACTGAGAGTTTTGCAAAAAAATCATGAAAAACAAGTCAACAGCTTGCTAAAGGAGACCCAAAAAAATACTGAAGAAAATAACACCTTAAAAAATAGCCTAACCCGAATGGCAAAAGAGGTCTAAAAAGTCAATGAGGAGAAGAATGCCCTAAAAAAACAAAACTGGCCAAATGGAAAAGGAAGTCCAAAAGATTACTGAAGAAAATACTTCCTTAAAAATTAGAATAGAGCAATTGGAAGCTAATGACTTTATGAGAAATCAAGACACTGTAAAACAAATCCAAAAGAATGAAAAAATAGAAGAGAATGTGAAATATCTCATTGGAAAAACAACTGACCTGGAAAATAGATCCAGGAGAGAGAACTTAAAAATTATTGGACTATCTGAAAACCATGATCAAAAGAAGAGCCTAGACATCATCTTTCAAGAAATTATCCAGGAAAACTGCCCTGATATTTTAGAACCAGAGGGCAAAATAGAAATTGAAAGAATCCACCGATCATCGCCGGAAAGAGATCCCCAAAGGAAAACTCCTAGGAATATTGTAGCCAAATTCCAGAGTTTCCGGGTCAAGGAGAAAATATTACAAGCAGCCAGGAAGAAACAATTCAAGTATTGTGGAAACACAATCAGGATAACACAAGATTTAGCTGCTTCTACGTTAAGGGACCGCAGGAGATGGAATATAATATTATGGAGGGCAAAGGAGATAGAATTACAACCAAGAATCACCTACCCAGCAAAACTGAGTATAATCCTGCAGGGGAAAAAATAGTTATTCAGTGAAATAGAGGACTTTCAGGCACTCTTGATGAAAAGACCAGAGCTGAATAGAAAATTTGATTTTCAAATACAAGACTCAGGTGGAACATGAAGAGGTAAACAGGAAAGAGAAAATTGTAAGAGACTTATTATGGTTGAACTGTTTACATTCCTGCATGGAAAGATGATATTTGTAACTCATGAGACCTTTGTCAGTATTAGGGTAGTTGGAGGGGAAAAAATTATATGTACATATATATAGATATAGATAGATAGAGGGCACAGGGTGAGTTGAAGATGAAGGGGTCATATCTGGAGAATAAAATTAAGGGGTGAGAGGATTATACTAGGAAAAGGAGAAAGGAAGAGTTAGAAAGGGGTAAATTATCTCACAAAAAATAAATAGAAAAGAGAAGGCTCTTACAGTGGAGGGGAAATGGGGGAAGGTGAGAGGGAATGAGTGAATCTTATTCTCATAGAATTTGACTTAAGGAGGGAATAACATACACACTCAATTGGGTATGGAAATTTGTCTTACCCTACAGGAAAATGGGGAGGAGGGGACAAGAGAGCAGGGGGATGATAGAGAGGAGGGCAGATTGGGAAAGGGGGTAATCAGAAGCAAGTACTTCTGAGGAGGGTCAAAGTCAAAAGAAAGAATAGAATAAATGGGGGAGGGTGGGATAGGATTAAGGGAAATAGAGTTAGTTTTTCACAGCATATCTACTATGGAAGTGTTTTGCATAACTGCACATATATAACCTATATTTAGTTGCTTGCTTTATCAATGAGGATGGGTGGGGAGCGAGGAAGGGAGAAAATTTGGAACCCAAAGTTTTAAAAACACATATTTAAAAAAAAATGTTTTCACATGCAACTGGGAAATAAGAAATACAGGAAATGGGGTACAGAAAACCATCCTGCCCCACAGGAAAATTGAAGGGGAAGGGGATAATAGAAGGGAGGGGAGAGATAAAAGGGAAGGCAGACTAGGGGAAGGGGTATTCAGAATGCATGCCATCTTGGGGTGGGGGGAGGGGTGGGATGGGGTGAAAATTTGGAACTCAAAATCTTGTGGAAGTAAATGTTGAAAACAAAAAAAATAAATAAAAATTACTATAATATTGAAAAAAAAAAGCAGGGGTTCACTTAGGTGCTACGGGGACTTCCAGCTTGTTCCCTCAACTGACTTGAATTCAAAGATTGTACAACAGTTTTGTTCTTAAATAAATTTATTTGGTGAAAAAAATATTGTTCCTGAGTCCTCTTTTCACTTTTCCCTCTCTCATGGTGTTCTCACCAGCTTTCATGGGTTCAACTATCACCTGTACGTTTGTTTGAATAGCCTTCTTTTTAGTGGAATTTCCCTTCCCAGATAGTTCTTCCTGTTTAGATTTTGCCAAGTTAATTTATCTTTCCTTATGAGACGCTGTTCATGTATGAGATTATCTTTCAGGTGTGGGGCTTAAGTAGCTTGGCTCCAAGGGGAAAAGAACAGCAGCTAACTACTAGTCGCTCACCTCTTTGTGTAGGACTGGAGTTGCATCAAAAGGGCCCCTGAGAAGCAGTAAGTATCCAAGGGAAGGAGGTGAGAAGAGGAAGCAGAGGAACTCACAAAGAAATTCTTTTCTTGGATAGTTATGAATGACAAACGCCTTTAATTTGCTATTGTAAAGACAGAGAAAAATCCCTTTTAAGAAAAATTCTTTTAAGAAGCTTGGCCCCAAAGAAGAGAAAGATGTCTCCTGCCATTTATATGCAGAAGTGGGGATTGACCAGTGTGGAAATATTGCCTAAAATGCTGATTTTTTTTCTGTCAGTTTTGCTGATTTATTTTTTTCTTCTTAAAAAAATTTTGTTGTTGTTGTTACAAGGGATGGAGGTGGGTGGGAAAAGAGATGGGGAATTCTAGGAGATGTAAAAAACAAGATATCAATAAAGGCCTATTTAAAAATAAAGAAGCTTCTTCTGGGAGCAAAATTGTCATTTAAGAGAGGACTGCATGGATCTAAGTAACCATTTTTCTCATTTAGGACGAAAACAATCCCCCCCCCAACCCCGACCGTTCCCAAAATATAGGGATGGGGAAGGAATACTATGGGAGGGGGCCGAGGGGTGTGCCTCTTAATGAGAAACACAGGAAAACTTTGGCTTTACAGTAAACTCTCAAGTCATCCATGCCAAACTAGCGACACTATGATATGGATAATTTCCTTATCTTTGAAATGATCTATGTATGGGCTTGTGGGTTCCTTTTAATAGCAAATTCAGCATTCTCATTTTAGCTTGCTTTGTCCAATACTAAAAGGAGTTTGCAGTTCTTCATAACTTACGGCAACTTAATATAGACTAAGGAATTCAAATTGGTATTCAAAATTGGCCACTGAGGAGCCACAATTGATGAACCATGTATATAATCAGGAGCTGACTATAACTGACAAACACAATCAAAAATTTCCAATGTGTTCTGAAGGCTAAGTGGGATTTCATATCTGTAGCAAGATCCCTTAATTAGGGACAGCAGCAGGATGTGTTATGAATTGGAGCATACCCCCCTCCTCTTGCCCCTAGAGGCAAGATGATATCCCAGAACAGGCCCAGAAAATTCATTCCAGGGCCCTATTTGCCCACTGGCCTGCATTAGGGAAAGGGTGTAACTGGTTTGCCAACATTGACGGCTCTGCCCAGGGGACCAGTGTTACAGCTGCTTGAACCATTTATTCCTAAAACACAGATCTGACCACGTCATGAAGGAATATGAGCATTTCAAAACCTTCAACAGCTTCCTATTGCCTCTAAGAGAAAATACAAATTCCCCAAACTGACATCTAAAGCCCTCCATTGGCTGGCTCCCACTAACTTCTATAGCTATATTTCATATCACTCCCTTTTCCTGTTCCAAATTGGCCAGCTAGCTGTTCTCCGAATATGACTGCCCATCTCCTACTTCCCTTACTTTACCCAAGTGGTCCCATAGTGTCCTTTACCACTTTTGCCTCTTAGAAAAGATGGCTTGAGATCGAAGCATACTATTTGCTATTTTTTTTCTTCCGTTGAGTTTTGTTTCCTCTTTCTTGTGGTTCCTCCTATTGGTTCCAATTCTTCCTTACAGCATCACTAATGTGAAAATATGTTTAATAGGGATATATATGTATAGCCTATATCAGATTGCATGCCGTCTTGGGGAGGGAGGGGGAGAAAAATTTAAAACTCAAAAGTTTATGGAAGTGATTGTTGATAATTCAAAATAAATTAATTAAAAAAAAAAAGAAAAGATGGCTTGAGTCTCACCACCCCTACACGAGTCCTTTCCTGATCCTGTACTCTCTCTTAGTTAGTAATGTTCTTTTTTCCTTTTGACGTTACGTCGAGTATATTTAATGAACTAGCTACATCCCCTCAGAAGAAGATACTCTCTTTGAAGGCAGAGACTGCCCCAGCGGCTAGCACAGCTCCTGGCACACAGTAGGTGCCTAAAAAGGGCTGGCTCAACTGCAGTAGAATGGGAACCAATCGGGCAGGCCTGAGTGTGGCACTTTTCTATCCTTGCCCCCGGCGGCCTCTGGGAGCCGCGCCTTGCCAGACAGAACCCCTAGTCTGACAGTCACCCCTCTCTCAGGTAGCCCCCGGCCCCTCTCTTATCACGTGCCCATTAACGCGCGCTCTACCCAGCGCCCACAGCTCCCTCAGCTCTGCCCAGCCGAGACAGCTGCCCCGGAGCGTTCAATGAGGCCCTCCGGCCAAACCCCGGGCACTAAGCACCAGCTCCCTAGCCCCGTGGGAGCCCAAGCCACTCGGAGCCCAAACCAGAAAGCAACACGTCCGAGCGGCCCGCCCTTGCCAGAGGAACCAATGGGGGTTCTCTACGTCACGGGGAGGGCGGGACAACACGAAGGCGTCCTCCAAACGGCTACGCTATTGGTTCCGGCGGCATTCGCTCACGATAGGGGCCGGTGGCACCTTGTTGGAAGTTAGCGCTCGGGACGTCCGGACAGTAGAGTTGTAGCGACGGCCAGCACCCCCCACTCTCCTCCCCGCTGCAGTGCTCCTGCGCCCTCCTAACGCCGTTTCCCCAGGTGTGAAGTCTTCCCTGGGACCAGGCATCTGGATCCATGCCCGCCCAGGTAGGCCAGCCAACGCGGGGACAGGAGCGAGTCTCCTGCCAGGCTGGGGATGGGAATAGAGGTAGGGAGTGCGTGGCCGGGAAAGCGGGACTTCCCGAGAGTTCCAGTCCGGAGCCGGGAGGGGGCCGGGCTAGAGGTGCCTCAGTCCGCTGCGGGAGGCAGGTGGCGGGGGCGGGATGAAGGGAGCAGCGGGGGTCCCACCTCCTCCCCCTCCCAACCTACCTACTTTCCAACTTTATCTCGGTCTTTCTTTCCCGGCCACTCCTCCTGGGAGCGGGGAGACATGAGTAGCAGCCGGCACGACGACAATGATCAGTTCAACGAACAGCTGCGGCTCCAGCAACTTTACGAGGAGCGCACCGGGATGCCCGAGGGCAATGACCCCTACACTTATGTGGACCAAGCCGATGGCACTGCTTACGAGTGGGACCTGGACAAGAAGGCTTGGTTTCCCAAAGTATGCGTGGCTGGAGGGCTCCTGGGCTGGAGATTAGGGAGTGGGGATGGGGGGCTGGCCGTGGGACCCCATGTAAGGCAGCAGCTGCTGCTGTTTGACTTGATCTTCTGCGGCTCTTTAGCGAATCCATTTCCAAAGTTGCTGGTCACCTTTTAACTTTCCAGGCTTAGTTTCGATTTGCTCTGTTGCCAGTTCATTCATTCGTTCATTTGTTTCATTGTATTTCTTCCTGGGCTTATGACTTATTCCCCCAAAAAAGGCAGTGTCGAGAAACAAGCAGATAGTGGCTGAGCCCAGGGAGGACGTTCCTTGGCAGCTTAGAGTATCAAGTTTTTAACTTAGGCTTTGCACAAGATGCAAAGTTTTCAGTTGGTTAGATGAAACAGCGGCCTTGGATTAGGCTAAAACTTATAATGGCCATAATAATAGTTGACTTGGTGGGCAGCTTTGCTTACAACTTAAGAACCATCCTCGGATTGGACTTTTCGAATGGGCCACTGTTTGCTTTCTGCTTTAATTTTGTCCCTGGGCATGAATAGTTGAGCCATATAACTTCTGAGAGTATGTCTAGAGACTTAGATGGTGAGTTTTTCCAATTATATGTATGGATCTTTTCCAAGCAATATTGGATTTGAGTACCTTGAATTTCTTGGCTGTTCTGCCAAAAATGAAAGAAGTTCATTTCTTCTTCATTTTGGGCTGTTATTCCAACTTGAAAAAGAGGAAATCAAAAACAGTGTATTCATATAAGTCAGTCAATACACATTTATTAAGCACCTATGTGGCAGGCACCCTAAGCACTGGGATACAGAAATCTGCAAAAGACCAGGCCCCTTAAGGGGCTCACAGTCTAATGGGAGAGACAACAAGCAAAGAAGAATGAACAAACATGCAGATAAATAGGAAATAATTAAGAGAGGGAAGGCACTAGAATTAAGAAGTGTCAAAAATTAAATATTTAAAGTGTGAGTCCTTCGAAGGGGGTGGGGGCAGGGTGAGAATCTGAAACTGAAAATAAAAGAAAATTGAATGGGAAAAAAAATTTTAATAACTACGGAATGGATCAAATATTTGGAAGACACAGGAATTATATTCACACACTTGTAAAACATTTTTACAGAAATAGACAGACTTTAACTGGAGAGATTAAATTGTTCATGATTAGACCATGCAACATATGACAATACTACCTAAATTAATTTACTTATGTGGTGCCATAACAATTAAACTACCAGTGGGTTACTTTATAAAACTGGGGAAGAAATTCATCTAGAGGAGCAAAAGATCAAGAATCTCAAAGGAAATAATGAAGAGGGGAAAAAAGTGGGAAGGAAGAGGACCTAGCAACACTAGGCCTCAAACTATAGAGCAGTAATTCTCAAAACAACTTGGTACTAGCTAAAACAAGGAAAAGGTGATAAGTGGAACAGATTGGGGACGTGAGACCTAGAAACAAAAAAGACAAGAGCATCTATGAAAAATTTAAAGAAAATAAACAGAAAAGATCAAAAGGAGGTTCCGAGGCAACAGACAGTCAAAGTTGTTTGGAATAACCATGCTGAACTGAATGTATACTTAATGAAAAGCAAGCTGTACGGAATGAGATTCACAATTTCGTGTACTATACTTTGTAAAGTATGCATGTAAAATATTTGTAAATTTTTTTAAAAAAAAACACCATTTTTGAAAATGAAAATATTCATGTTTATTGATTTTCTCAAGTTCAGAATTAAAAAATTAAAATTATTCAAAAAAGAAATAAAATTAAAATATGAGTCCTGTATAGGTGGAAAAAAGGGTCCCAAGAACATACTACCTGGCTTGTGAACCTCCAATGACAAGAACTCCATTTTAGATATTTTAAGTTTTAATTATGTATATACAGGTTGTCTCCAAAGTCTTAGTGAAGTGTTATGCTATTAAAGTTTATTAAAAACTTCTCTTCCTCCTCCTCCCTCCTCCTTCTCTTCCTCTTCTCCTTCTCCTTCTCTTCTTTCTCCTCCTCCTTTTATTAAAGCTTATTAATAACTATTAAAGACTTTTGGAAAGCCAAAAACTTTATTAAGACTCTGGAACACCCTGTATATATTTAAATTTCTTTGAACCTCAGTAACCTGTTCTGTTTGTATTCAATTTCTATCTTTATAATGCTGGTTCAAGTTCACATTTTTTTCAACCATCTTTTTTGAGTATGTTGAGTACTTTTTGAGTAACTTTGAGTACCTTTCACAGTAGTCGGAACTTTGATTGACTTATTCATCATATAAAAAAAGGCATAATAAGTCTGCCTCTCCATAAACTTTTAGCTTCTAATTTTTTTCTTTATTCCTAAGATTGATTGGAATAAAGAATTGATTGGTTTGAAGATAGCACTACAGTTTTTCCTTTGTGCAGTGATACTTTACCTGCAAGATACCTGTAGATAGCTACAACCTGGTAGTGTTGTCCTCATTTTAGTTTGAAACACATCGATAAAGTGACATTTTTAATGATAATGAGGCAAAACTAAAATTTAGTCTAAATCAGTGTCCTGTACACTCAACCAGAGTACCATTCTAAGTCTCTGTGTGTACTTAAAATTATTAAATTGTAAATATGTATACTAAATATATATTATGCATACCATATATGTATATAACCATGTATATACACACATGTACATGTGCATATACATACATGTGTGTCTCTGTGTATCTGATCAGTGTTATAACTAAAAGTTGGTGAGCTGCCACTTTTAACGTCCCCCTAATCACATTTGTTTCATCTGTTGCTCTTATAATATACAAGGTTTCTGATGAAAAAAAGAGTTGAATAAAATGTATTCCTCTCCACTTACAAAAACGGATATGAAATAATGCATGAAACAAAGTGGAAAAGGTGCCAAGAGAATTCAGAAGTGCCTTGATGCTTAGTGGCTCAAAATTTGTTCTGGCATCCTGATTGCCCACAGATCATCTGTTATTAACACATGCTTTCCATATGTTCAAGTGGTCTGGCATTTGTACACTTCACTGCCATAACCATTGTTAGTAGAAGCCTGTCTACATTACCATAATTTGTTATACTGTGACTGAGGTAATAACAAAGTTAGGATGTGTTTACATATTTGAATTTCCTTTTAGATAACTGAAGATTTCATTGCTACATATCAAGCTAATTATGGGTTCCCTACGGATAGTCCCTCTTCTTCTCATACAGAAAAAGAGAATAAGGCTGATGTCAATGTAAAAGCTGAAGAGAAACTTACTGATAAAAAAGCCACACAAAATATTGAAAAAAAGCAGAAAGGAGAAAAAAGAAAGCCTGAACCAGGTAGGTGGCTGTCTATCTTACAAAATGTGATAGCTCAAAAAAAAAAAAAAAAACCTTTGACCCTAAATCTTTAGAACATAGCAATAGCTTTTAGGGAAATAACAGTAGGAAGTCTTTTTTAAATAGTTTTTAGAATTTTTTAGAATCAAGATAAGCCAACCTCCCTTTTCAAATTAGTGCCTTGAAAATAAATAAATTGCACAGCTCAGAAGCACTTTGAAAAGGAAGGTAGGGATTTGAATTGTTTTGTATGGTGATCTAAGTTCCCAGATAAATGAAGGCTGGGGGAAACAGCCCAGGGCAGCAGGGAGAGTGCTGGTTTTGAGCCCCAGGTTCTGGGTTTGCAGCTCTGCCCTTTTGCCCCCACTGTGTGTATCTCCTCCCCGACCCTCCCCCCCCAAGTCACCTCACCACTCTGGGTGAGTTTCCTCATCTGTAAAATAAAGGGGACAAGTGGGATCAGTGACCTAGAACCTTCTGGCTCTAAATCTGGGATGTTGGAAGCTTAGAGGAACCACCACCCTAATAAATTTCTGTGCTCTGGGCCTCATAAATTTCATTTTATTTTCAGGATGGTTTCAAGTTGAAGAGGACAGAAATACAAATGTTTATGTTACTGGTAAGTACTTCTAAAAAGGGCATCTTCCATATTATATTATGATAGAAAGTCTTTGGTTTTTAACATAATTTTGGTTTTCTTCAAGTGTATATTTTATGTTAAAGTTTGGCATGCTTGTATTTGGAAACCCATCCAACAGTGAGAAATGTATATTTACTGTTAAATTTGATAATAGGAAAAATCAAATGTAAAATTCACAGTGGGCAGCTTTTCTGCCATCCCATTTGAGATCTCAAGTAAAGTTAATTCCACAAACTCAGTGGTACTACATATATGAAGAGCTAGTTCAAGGTCGAGGAGAGTGGTGGACTTCCTGGCTTTGGGTTCTACCTTGGACATTGACTGTGTGCACAGACTAGTTATTTGCTTCCTTTGGGCCTTGGTTTCTTCATCTATAAAATTGGAGGGGGTATTGCTTTAGATCATCTCTAAGGTCCCTTCCAGCTCTAAATCCTATGATATAGGATAAATAATTGAAATCCACACACACACACACACATATATATATATATATATATATATATACATGTGTTTGAGTAAATAACATAGGCCTTCCTAAGAAAATCCTATGTGATCGAGATTCATCATACAATTAGACATTCTAAATTTTGAGCAGCTACATTCTAGATATAGTGGTTTAATTTTGTTACATACGTTTACAGTTTCCCTCAATGTAGTTACTGTGAAAATCACAGCTTCTGTACCTTCTGAGTCATTAGCTTTTTACTTTCCTTAACTGTGGAAGTGGTTTTAAAAAACAGTAAATGGAAGTATGTGTTATTATGTAAGGGTATGTAAGGGATACAAATACCCACAAACACTGAATTTTGTTTTAACTATTTTTGCTAATTTAATGGATAAGGGTGGTACTTTAAATTTGGTTTTAATTTTTTTGTTGTGTAGAATTTTTAAATTTTAATGTAGTCAAATGAATGTGTCTCATGAATATTCTTGAAGATTCAGATGGCACAGTATCAGTTCATGGGCATTTCTGATTGGTAGAATGCCTGGGTGAACCAGCTTTTATGAGAACTACAGCTATACTCTACTTTCTGAAAAAACACAGCAGTGTTTTTGTTAACTTTTCAGGCTTACCTCCAGACATTACAAAGGATGAATTTGTACAGCTTATGTCCAAATGTGGCATTATCATGAAAGATCCCCAAACAGAAGAATATAAAATCAAGCTTTATAAAGATAAACAAGGAAATCTCAAAGGAGATGGGCTTTGCTGTTATTTGAAGGTCAGTTACATAAATAAGATGGAGATGTGAGAATCTTAACTTGTGACTTGAGACTAAGCTTTGATGGATGCTGTTGACCACCTCGAAATATCATGATTGAGGTGTGAGGGAAACTGAAATTTCAGCTTGCATGTGTGGACCACATTTAGTAAAGTTTATTTGTGGCCTTGCCAATAAATATATCTTGTCTAGCTAGACAAGTTTGTACCTTTCACGTTTACTGCTTTGAATTTTTTTTATCAAACTGAAGAAGGGAGTGTGCGATTAATAAAAATTGGGAGTTGATTAATAACAGCATGGACCTCCCAGGGGAAACCATGGCAGAATCAGCAAACGTTTATGGAACACCTGCCATGTAAGCAACATTGACTTAGGCCAGGGGTGGGGAACCTGAGGCCTTGAGGCCACCTGTGGCCTTCTAGGTCCTTGGGTGCAGCCTTTTGACTGAGTCTAAGTTTTACAGAACAAGTCCTTTTAAGGGGATTTGTTCTGTGAAGTTTGGATTCAGTCAGAGGGCCAAGCTTGAGGACCTAGAGGGCTACAGGTGGCCTCGAGGCCACAGGTTCCCCACCCCTGGGTTAGGACCTCCTGGAGAAGATGGGAGAAATAGAAGACAAAAATCCTAGTTCTTGAGGAACTTAGCAGTCCAACGGTAGTGGTAATAGAATGAGATGCAGCAACTTGAAAGTAGCTGCAGACTGACATCGAGAAGAACAAACTAATGCCCCTCCCCCCAGATTAAACATAGGTGTACTGTGTGCATGTAGAGTGGGGTAAGGAGCATCCGAGCGAGGCTGGGGTGGAACAGTCAGGGAAGAAATGCTGTGTATTGTGGGGGCTTTTGAGCTGGGTCTTGAATGTGATGGATTTGGAAATTACCATGAAAATATCATGCATCAAATACAAGGAAGTTTGTAGGCATTTTACAAGTTGAGTTTAGGATTATTCAATTATTTTACCAGTGTGTGCATAAATGCTTGTTGAGATTAGTTTGGACCAGATGGTATTTTTGAAGGAGAAATGGGGCTCCTAAGAAACTTGATTTGGAGATAATGGAGGACTTCAAAAATTGCTCCACTGGCAGCTTGAGAGGTGGAGAGACATCAGTAAGTAGAGCCTAGACAGGAGGGATTTGAGTATCAGAGTATCATCTTTCAGGCCGAGCGTTACTGAGTCCTTCTTGTTATTTCATTCCTTGTCTCTGCCGGGTCTGCTTTCAAAGCTTCAAGCACTACTTTAACAGCACTCCCTATTCGTGTAAGAACCAACATCATAAAACTTATTTCACATAAAAACACCTTGCAATTTTCAGCTGATCATAGTGCCTAGTTAGACAGAAATTGGAAGACAAGATATTACCAATCCCATGAATCATCTGGGCCTTTAGCTGTAAGGATCATAAAATTTTAAAGCAATAAGGGATATTAGAGGTAATCTTGTCCAAAAAACCACCCTCATTTTACAGATGAGAAAATGGAGGCCATGACAAGGAAAGTTAAGGCCATACACTAACTAGTTAGTGTCAGAGCCAGGACTAGAAACCAAGTTTCTTGACACACAACTCAGTGTTTTTTCCACTACACCAAATTAGTTGCTTATCTTACATTATTACATTATGTTACATTATTGGTGTATGTTTCTGGGATGTGCGTCTCTCCTGGAAATAATTTTTATGATTTCTCTTGTTTCAGAATAGAATGTAACAGATTTTATTTTGCCTTCAAATAGAAAGAATCTGTCGATCTAGCATTAAAGCTTCTAGATGATGATGAAATCAGAGGCTACAGACTGCATGTCGAAAAGGCAAAGTTTCAGCTCAAGGGTGAATATGATGCCAGTAAAAAGAAGAAGAAATGCAAAGACTACAAGAAAAAACTGTCTCTGCAACAAAAGTTGGTGTTGACTTTTTCCTGTAGGCATTGTTGTTTGGGGGCAGTGTTTCACATTAAGAATCGTGGCTAAAACATGCTAACAACTTTTGGCAATAAGAATTACATTGCTTTATTCCTCCAAACATATGCGTGTGATTTCATATAAATGCCATCTGTACAGTGGCATTCTTTCCTAGAGAACTAGAGATGACCAAGAATCTTACAGGGGGTGGTTGACAACAGGGAGATTAAAAAACAAAACAAAACAAAACAACAGGGAGATTTGAGGTTGGTTTTTTCCCCTCCAGTGCTAGAAATGCATACTATTTATTTGCAATATCAATAAGATTTTTTTTAAAGTACTGTGCATAACATTGGTTCTTTTATATTCTTTAACCTAAGAAATTCTTTATTAATTAGATGCTTATTAAAACTCAACTACCAAAACTTGAATAGATAATCATCAGGAAACTGAAACTGTAAAAATCTAGTTCTTTTTAGAAAGTAGCCAAAGTAATACATTTGTGTTGATTTTGGAGGAAATCTAAAATTGTAGTAGAATTGGTGGATTTGCCCTTAAAGTCAAGAAAGTCAAGGATGAGCAGCCCCCCCCATTTCTTAGTGTCTCACGTGAGTGAAGTGTGTGAATGCAGCACAAAGAGCTTATTTTTTATGTGTGTCCATAAAGCCAGAAGAGACTTCAAAGACAATTACTGTAAGTAAGTAAGTTCTCTTTCACAAATGACATTGGCGTTTTGAAATAAATACCAACTTTATAAGCCAGGAGTGGTTCTGCAAGGAAAAAAAAAAAAGGTAGCCCTGGGCTACACTCAGGATCTGGGTTTCTGGGACCTTCAGCACATTTGTTTTTATTTTCCAATAGTCTCTGATGAATGGTAACCAAAGAAAATAGGGATTTGTATTTGCATTAAAGGCAAAGAATCATTTGTCACTATTGATCGCCCAGTGAGGGAGAATATTAACAAATGAGATTTTTCTCCAATAAACATTTGCAAAAATGCAAAGAAGGCCGAGCTATCTTATCGTTGTTCATTTCTATTAGACAGCTGGATTGGCGGCCTGAGAAGAAAACCGGCACAGCTCGAATGAGACATGAGCGGGTTGTCATTATCAGGAACATGTTCCATCCTAAGGATTTTGAGGTGAAGCGTTTAAATCCTTCCTAGCGGATACTTTGCTATCATGATGGTGATTGCTCTCTTTGTATTGTTCTTTAAGGTTTACAGAGCTCTCAGTGTGCATGTGCTTTCTTGAATAATGCTCAGCAGCCTGGGACGTGGGCCACAGATAGCATCATGCTTTCTTGGAGGGTTCCAAAGTCAACATCACTCCAACTGACCAATTCCACATGTATAAGTAGTAGAGGCAGACAAATTAAAATGGCAGAAACATGAAATTAATCCAGGTTTCCTTTTGCTTAGGCTGAACTTAAAGCCTCAAATAACTAATTGGGGAAAGCAATGAAAAACAGTCATTAAAAGATTTACAGATAGAGGGCGATAAATGACTTTGGGTTTGGACAGAGGTCGATTTGTAAAGTATTAGGACCCATTACTTAGTGAGGTACTATTTTCAGAGAATCCCAAAATTCACAGCCATTAAGGGGACTTTGGGGTAGTTAATGCCCAGGTAGATAGATGTCCTAGGATCATAGCATGTAAAACTATAGAAGGGACTTTCACAGTCATCCCATCTAACTCCCTAGCCCAGATTGGTAAAGTGACTTGCCCAAAGTCACTAGCTAGAAAATAGTAGAACCAGGATTTGAACTCAAATCTTCAGACTCCAAACCTGTTGGATTTTTTTCCACCACAATACATTGATCCAGAGAAAGCAGAGAAACCAGGAGAGACGTAATAGATATTAATTCACGCTTCATTGCTTCAATTTAACTTGGTCTAGAACCCAGGTCTCTTAAGCCAAGGAGTCTCCACTGTTTCTTCTCTCTGGGGTGCAGAGGTGATGTCTGCTCTTTCTGATTGTGTTGCCCATGGCAGGGAGGAGTAAGTACCAAAGTCCCTTCATTCATCTCTAGCACCTTTCTCAGCTTTGTGATCTTGGGCAAATCACTTCACCTTCTTGGGCCATACTTTCTTCTTGTGTAGAATGAAGAGGCTGGACTCAATGACCTCAAGGTCCCTTCTAGCTCCTGATCTTGGCTCCTTTGACCTGTGACCTTCTAGGTACTTTCTTTCTGCTATGATCATGTCAGAGTTCAAAGAATAGCCAAGCGCCTTCTGACTTAGAGGCTGCTGTACCCTTGTTCATTTGCCTCCCTGCACTTCATCATGCCAGCATACAGGTTGGTCTGCACATTTGAAAAATAACTTAAAAGGCTTAGAACACATTTTGAGGTTGTGTCCTTCTGTTGCAAGTGCTCAACATAGGAGCCTGTTTTTCCTTGAATCACTTTTGGTGGGGAAAGGTTGAGTTTCCTAAAGGATAGAGATTATTAGCACTAGGCATTCTCAGTTAAAGCTGATCTCAATCACCAGACAAGGTGGGGGTTTCCAAAAGTAACAAGTAGCTCCCCTCCCCTTTGGGGTACATTTATATACCAGACAGCTGAAGGGTGTTGGAAGTAATGAGCTTAAAAATACCTTTTAACATCGGGGCAAATGACAAATGTTCATTTTTCTTTGACATGAGAGGGCCTTCTATATATACTTTCTAGCCTTATTCAAAATAAATCAGCTGACAAAGAGCTCTAAGAAAAGATTGAAAACAGAGGTCCAACAGTGGGTGTATTTCAACCTCACTATTAAGTGCATCCAACTCAGGGGTAGGGAACCTGTGGCCTCGAGGCCACATGTGGCCCTCTAGGTCCTCAAGTGTGGCCCTTTGACTGAAGTCAAACTTCACAGAGACGTAACTCTGTATACTCATGATGAATTAATATCACTTTAGATATTAGTGACCACTCGGTAAAAAGAGATGATCTTGCCCACTGGCCCTTGGAGTCATCTGGTAAGAACAGTTTATTAGGGCCTTGATCTTGTTTTAAAGAATTTGAGCTTAACTCTATGTCCTATAATTAAGCAATTAGCTACTAATCATTGAGTGCCTATAATAACAATAATTTATTTTAGCAGCTTTAGAGTTTACAAAACTTTTTATATGCCTCATCTCATTTAAGCCTTACAACAACTCTTTGAAATTGGTACTGTAAGTATTATTATCCCTGTTTTCCAGATGAAGAAACTGAGGCAGACGGAGGTTTGGTGATTTGCCCAGGGTCACACAGCTAGTGATTGGATTCTGTGAAGTTTGGATTCAGTCAAAGGGCCACACTTGAGGACCTAGAGGGCCACATGTGGCCTTGAGGTCGCAGATTCCCCACCCCTGAACTAGACCTCTTTTAAGGGGTAGCAGCTTCCCTTTCCGACAGGAAAAAAGAAATACCACCGGCTCCCAGGGGGAAAAAAAACATAACCTGGAAAACAAATAATAAATGACTAGAGATGGCTTTTGGAAATTTTAATGGCTATGAAGCTTTTTACTGCCGGACTTTGGAGCAATCCCCGTATCTTCACTCAAGATCCTATTTTAATCTCAAGTCTCTTTAATATAAGGACTCTTTCTTCTCAGAGGTTTGTTGTGTTTTTTAAGCAGCATTTTCATATTTTATTTTGTATAGAGAGAGGAATTTACCAAATACCTATTTTCAGATGAAGGAGATTTGTTCCTATCATTTCTTCTTAATCTTCCTGTTACTGATAAAGCAGGCTGACATCACTCAGCTAAAACTCTTTCCAGGCCAACTTGATTTCCTTTTGGCCAGTTACTAAGCTGAGGGGTCAGAAGAATGCTGTAGCTGTAGATCTCCATAGGTTAGCAAAGCACTTGACACAGTATCTTGCGCTATTCTTGAGAAAATGACGGAGAAGTGGGCTAGATCTAGTACAACCGGATGGATTCACAACTGGCTCAGTAGCCAGACCCCATAGTCAGTGCTGGGTTAATGTCCTCCTAGGAGAGTGTCCCAAAGGTCTGAAGTCAGAGGACCTGGGTTCAAATCCTGCCTTCAGCATTTACTAGTTATGTGGCCTTGAGCAAATCGCTTCCTCTTTCTGGGGCTGTTTCTTCCTCTGTAGAATGAGGGAGTTGAACTTGAAGGCCTGTGAGGCCACTTTCAGTTCTAGATGTAGGCTCTTAGGATTCTGTGGAAGAGGCATGACTAGACAGTAGTTTGTCTGAAAAGGATCTAAGGGTCTAAGTGCACTGCAAGTCCAGTATGAGTCAACAGAGTGATTATGGCAACCCGGAAAGCTAATGCAGCCACGGGCTGCATGAACAGAGACAGACCTCATCACTTCCAAGAATAAGGAGGTAAGGGTTCCTCTGTTTTCTGTCCTAATCAGACCACATCTGGAGTATTGGATTCATTCATGGGTACCACATTTCAGGAATATCAGTAAGCTGAAATAACATTCAGAGGAGGGTAACCAGAATGATGAAGAGCCTTGAGGTTCATGCCATTCAGGAGCAGGTGAAGGAAATGAGGTTCTTTCAAGGAAAAGCAACATGCAGTCAAAGTGGCTAGAGCACCGGCCTTGGGATTTGAACCCCACTGCAAACACTCGTTAGTGATATGACTTAAGTTATTTAAACCTCTCTGGGCCTCAGTTTCCTCATCTGTAAAATGGACGTACACTCGATAACCTCTAAGGTCCCTTTCAATTCTAAATCTGTGAAGCCATGATCCTCTTTCACCTAGAGAGAAAACACACAAGAGCTGCCTTCAAGTATGTGAAGGAAGAGCTCTCACATAGAAGAGGGGGTTATACTTGTTTGGGTGCCATGGGCAAAAAGGTCATTGGAGGCTGGATTTCTGGAAGAAGTTCCTGTCAGTGAGCACTGTCCCAGAGTGGGTGAGACCCCTTCAGGAAGGGAGCTTGCATCCCCTTCTTGGAGGTTTGTAAGCAGAAGCTGGAGGATCACTGATCTGGTCTCTACCTTTCAGACCTAGGTGATGCTAGCTAGCTGGACTGAGGTCCCTTCCAGTGGGGAAATTCTGAGACTCATATTTGTTAAAATCCAAAGTGTCGGATTTCAAATTTTCTAAAAAATATTTTTGAGAAAATTTGGGAAGTTGAATAGAGGAATCAGGAATAGCATAGTTTTTTCAAAGTACAAGGATATTACTGATATTCAGAATTAATAGATTGAAGAGGGGCTAGGGTGTCTTTTGTGGCTAAGTATATGTAAATGCCACCCCTTCCCAAGTAATGGAGCTCTTAGCATTCGGCAAACTGACAGGCCTATTGGTGATTTCTGCAAAGCTATCACTTCATTCCAGTGGGCAGGGATTTACATTTCTGCTCTTAGATTTTGTTTTCAGTACAGCTTAGTAGTGTGTTTATTTTGCTTTTAGGAGAGTGAGGCCTTCAGGAGGGAAAGGCCACTTTGTGCAGCTTGGCCATTTATCGTACGAGTAAACCTGAAAATTTTTAAGAGGGATAAAATGAACTTAAATCTCTCCTGGAGAGTGGAAGCCCATTTAAAGACAATATAGCTAGGCCCACAATATTAGAAATTCATAGAGAGAACACATTCATTTCATTAGCTGTTAAAATAGAAATTGATATCATTACCTTTATTCATCAGTTGTGAGCTGAGTCCCATTGCAGAATGATTTGTTGATTAAGGGGGGAAGGGGAGGCGAGGTGCGGGTGTGTTAGGCATGGGAGGGTAGGAAGGGCTTACCTGGTTGGACCAGCTGGTTTCTGAGGTCTCCTTCCAATGCTGAGATTCTGTGAGCCCAGGACAAGAAACTCTAGTCGGAGCTATGTTTATGCTTTCTTAATATGTTTGCAGTTCCTACACAAACAGCTCCAGAACTTTTCATTCTGTTTGTGATGCTTCCAGGATTTGCAGTTCTGTCAGTGAGTGCTCCGTCTGCCTCCTCACATTGAAACCTTGATATATTGTCACTTGTGTTAATAGAACTCCACCCACCCCACCCCACCCCCCCTTTAGGAAAAAAAAACACCAACAAAAAGATGGCAGCCCTTTGCTAGGCTGGTCCTCAAGCAGCACACAAGCCATCAGCCTTGAGTTATTGCTCCTAGATTTTCTCATCAGTCTTTAAGAAACCTCCACACTCCAAGGAGGCCATTTGAGCAGAACTTGCATGGAGGTGTTCTTCTCTTCCCTCCTTCTTTTGGAGGCTCAGAATGTGTTGTCTCCCTCTATGTTGGAATGTGAGCTCCTCAAGAACAGGGGCTGTCTTGCTTTTTTTCTTAGCCCAGTGATTTGCACATGGCAGGCCTTTCAGAAATGCTTTTTCATCAGTTCATTCATTCATTTGTAATTTGTAACAGCTAGATCCTATTCTTTTCAATGTGATAGAGTTCTTTTTTCCCCCCACTTAATAGTATTTTATTTTTTCCAATACATGTAAAGAGAGTTTTCGACATTCACTTTTATAAAATTTTGAGTTCCAAATTTTCTTCTTTCCTCCCCAAGATAGCATGCAATCTGATATAGATTATACATGTACAATCATATTAAACCTATTTCCACAGTAGTCATGTTGTGAAAGAAGAATCAGAATAAAAAGGGAAAACCACGAGAAAGAAAAAACAAAAAAAGAAGTTAAAATAGTATGCTTTCATCTGCATTCAGACTCCATAGTTCTTTCTCTGGATGTGGATAGCATTTTCCATCATGAGTCTTTTGGAGTTGTCTTAGATCTTTGCATTGCTGAGAAGACCTAAGTCTATCAAAGTCGGTCATCGCACATTACTATGTACAATGTTCTCCTGGTTCTGCTCACTTCACTCAGCATCAGTTCATACAAGTCTTTCCAGGCTTTTCTGAAATCTGCCTGTTCATCATTTTCTTCTAGCACACTACATTCATAGACCACAACTTGTTCAGCCATTCCCCAATTGATGGGCATCTCCTCAATTTCCAATTCTTGGCCACCACAAAAAGAACTGCTATAACTATTTTTGTATACAAGTCCTCTTCCCATTTGTATGATCTCTTTGGGATACAGACCTGGTAGTGCTGTTGCTGGGTCAAAGGGTATGCAGTTTTATAGCCCTTTGGGCATAGTTCCAAGTTCCTCTCCAGAACAGTTGGGTCAGTTCACATCTGGAGGAGTAATAAAATGAAACCTGGTGGTGTGATAGGCAATTTAAGAATTGTATCCCCTTTATTTACTGAATGGTCTATCAGGCTTTTGGTCATTTTGGTAAAAAAGAATCATCAATAACATCCTACATGTGTAGAAGAAAAATAAGCCTATAGAGTAGTGGTGTGAGGCTGCAGGCAATGCTGCCGGTGTTGCTGATGCTAAGCACTGATACAGTCTTGTAGTAGGTGCCCAAAGCTGTGGTCACTCCATAACTAGGGTGTGACCTGAAGCCATGCCAGATAAGTTCAAGGAAATGGCCATCTTCTGCTTGCAGGAGGGAAGACTTGAGGATGGCAGGGAAGGGAACTGAAGATACACAAGTTAAATGGATTTTTCTCTTCATATCTAGAATGGTAGAAAGTACATACAATGGGAGTATTTTGAGGCCTTGCCACTAACTAGCTGCATTATGAGCAAGTAATTTCTCGCTGGACCTCAGTTTCCTCATCTGTCAAATGAGAGACTTGAAGAAGCTAGCTTTAGATATTCTTACTTCAGTCCTTCCAACTCTGTGCTTGGATGTTCTTCTCAGGTGGTAAAAACACATGGAGATCATATGAGTGTTGTTTTCATAGTTAGGGTATTTGTTTCACCAACGCAAAACTATAACCTCTCTCCAGTCCTTCTCATTCTCTGTTCATGTTTGAATGAACAAACTCACCTCAACAGCTCTCCATAGCCCACTGGAGGACTTATTCTTTTCATATCTTGAGAGGCGCTGGTGTAGAGCACAGACCATTGGTTCATTCTTCCACACAACCAACTCTCCCTCTTTTCTTGCCATAGATTGCCTCCTATTCTACTTCTCACACCAGAGTCACTGTTGGGAATGTGCCAGCCTACTTATGTCCACTATATGGCCATCATTACTCTTTGAATTCTTTGTCATCCTCATCCATCTAGGACCTTGGAGTTCTAGGAATCTCAGCCAAATAGCAGCATCACAAGGAATATTCACATTAAGCAGAAGGGCTTTTGCAGAAATGCTGTGTGGTTTCTTGGTCATTTCCTTCTCAGTTCTGGGCCCAGATCATTATATGTGTCTAGCACTTGTAGGGATATGCTTAGCGACAGGCTGATTTTACAGACTGCACATCCAACTGCATTTTAAAAGATGGGCACAGGGGCAGCTAAGTGGTGCAGTGGATACAGCACCGGCCCTGAAGTCAGGAGGACCTGAGTTCAAATTCGGCCTCAGACCAAACACTTGACACTTACTAGCTGTATGACCCTGGGCAAATCACTTAACCCTAATTGCCTTTAAAAAAAAAAAAAAAAAAAGCTGGGCACACTGTTGTTCATCTGCTTGGTTTTTCCAGTGTGAATGGTCTGACCATTCTATTCTCTTAAAATTACTATGGATTTTGCTGATACTTTGTAATGTTTCAGACCTTAGTATAATTAGGAATATTTGGAAAATATTTCTACTGATAGGAAATATTTGATGGTAATGCCAAACACATCTCCTTGTCTAACACCTCTCTTGATGTTAATATCCAGTGGGCCCTTGAATGAGGCTCTCTCTCTAGCTGTTACTCTTGTGTTTCTTTAATTTTGACATGTGAGAGACTCTGAAGAAAATTGTAAAGGCTACATTTTGCTCCATCTGAACATATAATGCTTTCCTAAACCATAAACAGGCTTAATTGTAAATATAAAAACCACTTTCTGGAAGCAGAGTATGCTTGTAGTAGTATTCTAGCTTTGTTTCCTTTTTAAAGAAAGGTAATGGGTTTGAAAGCTTTATATTTGAGACAGAAATGTGTTTAACCATGTGTAATCTTTGTAGGAGGATCCATTAGTGCTAAATGAGATCAGGGAAGACCTCCGAACAGAATGTGAGAAGTTTGGACAAGTAAAGAAGGTCCTTCTCTTTGATGTAAGTGCATGACCCAATTGGACAAAAATTACTCGAAAATAATCAGTCTTCCAGCTAACAGGCCTTAATGTGCACCTGGAGTTTGGAATCCCTTTCTACCTAATAGGCCTGCTTATCTAGTCAAAAAGAGGCTTAGTGGAGAGAAGAGGTCTATCCTTACAGCCAGGAAGGCCTGGGCTCAGCTCCCTTCCCTACCAGCTCCTGGCTGGGGAACCCTAGGAAAGTTGCTTCATTTCTCAGTGCCCCTCAAAGTCTATAAATTTCCCCCAAAGTCCCAGCTTGTATTGACAGAGGGAGTCTCCTCATCTGGGAGCTCCCTAATCCAGGAAAAGCACAGGTCTGGCCTCCTTCCCCCATTTAGTCATAAGTATGTATCGTATAGGGCAGCTAGGTGGTGCTGCACTGGCTAGAATGCTGGGCCTGGAGTCAGGAAGACTTATCTTCCCGAGTTCAAATCCAGCCTCAGACACTTACTAGCTGTGTGACCCTGACAAAGTCACTTTACCCTGTTTGCCTCAGTTCCCTCATCTGTAAAATGAGCTGGAGAAGGAAATGGCAAACCACTCCAGTATCTTTGCTAAGAGTCAGACCCAACTGAAACAACTACTTGACAACAAAAATGTGTCCTATGAGGAACCAGAAGAGGCTTATCAATGTGTACCAGCGCTCCATATAAGGCCATCTGGTGTTTGTCAAAAAATAAGCATTTATTAGCGATAGTTTTATTTGCCTAGATAATTTTCCTTCAACTTAAGGGCTATACCTCTGACCAGGTTCAGGAAAGGACAGGAAAAACTTGGTCTGTGGTAACCCACCTTCCCCACTCCTTTCTTTGCATATTTCCCCTTGACCTTGCATTTTGACAAAGGAAAATGTTTTCCCCTCTGTAGTTCCCACCCACATGCTTTGAAACCCCAACCTTTGTTTTTAATAGCAACTTCTCCTATTGCAGTATGTTTATTTCTTATTAGGGAAGATAGACGGTTAAATCTGAGGAATAATCAGTGACACCTAGTCAGTACTCACCGCTTTGCCAGCTCCCCTCCCTATCTTGGCTTTCTCATGCATGTGACTTCCCATCTACCAAGACACTCCAAAATGACTGTAGCAGCTTCTGTCCTGTTTTGGAAAGAAGCCCCAAACGTGAAATTGAAATGGAATCCCAAATGTACAAACTACTTTTCAATTACAAACCATTCTCCTTTCTCTGCTTCCCATCTTTTGCCAACCCTCACATAAGCCATCTCACTTCAAAGAGCCCTTGCCCTTCCCCCCCCCACACCGAGCATTGAGAAATTGCTAAAGCACCGGAGGGGGGGGAAGGGACCTCTAGGTGATCTAGGGTGCACATGGTGCCTTGTCCCACTGATTGCTGGGCAACTCTTAGTCACTGCCCTTTAGTAAATAAGTTGGAAAATCTCCAAAACAAATTTTTGGGGGAATGGGGGTGGGGCAGACCCAGCATCCAGGATGGACTCCCATAACACTGCTTAAATCCCTATTTTATAGGCCAGATATCAGAGAAGAGAGCCAGGAAGTATGCCAGTAAAGAGACCAGCCACCGTTGGTCCTCAGTGTATAGAAAGTGCTTGAAATCTTTTGTCTCTCCCACCTAGATTAGTTGGGGGAGGGGAGCAGTACATTTTAATTATGCCCCCTTTTTTTCCTTTCCAGAGACACCCAGATGGTGTGGCCTCTGTGTCATATAAGGAGCCAGAGGAAGCCGATCTCTGTATACAAGCCCTCAATGGAAGGTGGTTTGGTGGCCGTCAGTTAAATGTGGAAGTGTGGGATGGTGTGACGGATTATCAGGTGAGACCTATAGCTTTCCAGTCTCCCTTTTCCTTCTGCCTATCTCCTCCCCATGCCCTGTGTTCAGGCAGGATATTAATGATCTTCAAAAATGAAATGATTGTAATTTTGTTTGACATAAGGATACTGACTATAGTAGATCTTCACACTTAGACTTTAGGTTCTATTTCATCAGTTTAATGTGACAGGTCATTTTCATTAATATTTTGTACCTGTGACATTGTGGGATGGATTGTGAGGTATGAGGAGCATGAATCATGGTCTTCTACCATGAAAGACCAAAATGAAGAAGTGGGAACTAAATCTTCAGTCTTGCTTGGAACAGATAGATAGTAGTTAAAAGCAGTAGCAATGTAGAATCAGACAGTTCTCTTTCCATTTGGGGTTATAAGTTGATTGTTTTTTGTGGTTTTTTTTTTTACATCAGTGATCTCAATTTCAGTTGAAGGATAGGGAGTAGGGGCAGCTAGGTGGTGCAGTGGATAGAGCTCTGACCTTGGAGTCAGGAGGACCTGAATTCAAATCTGCCCTCAGACACTTCACACTTACTAGCTGTGTGACCCTGGGCAAGTCACTTAACCCCAATTGCCTCACCAAAAAGCAAAAAAAAAAAAATGAAATATAGGGAGTGCCCAACAGCCATTTAAGGAAACTGATCCTCTGTCAGATTTTAGATACCAAATATCAGGTAAATGAGTTGAGATTAGATTTTTCTCAGTTATGAATTTGATAATATTTTTATCTATTATTAATATTTGTGTACTTCTTCCATAAGTTTATCAGAATACTAAATCCTATATAAATTTCATACATTGTAGAAAAAACTAATAAAGCCAACTCCCCTTTTCAGTCTCCTATACTTTTTCCAGATTTTGTGATATCTCTTCTTATTACATGAGCATATCTCTTTTTGCTACAGCTGACCTCTGTGGTATAATTAAGATAAACTACTCCATGATATTCTGTTGTAATACTAGCTTTGGAGAAGTTAGTTATTTGAGCTATTTCTAATGGTTCTTGTCACTCTCAAGTTACTTTAAGGTAACTGTCTTACCTTGTAGTCAGTTTGGAAGCACCACATGGAAAGTTAACACTTGTTTTGGCTTGAAGTGTCTTTAAATGGCATGTTCTATTTATGTACAGGTGGAGGAGACATCAAGAGAGAGAGAAGAAAGACTGAAAGGCTGGGAGTCTTTTTTAGAGCATCCTAACATCCAGAAAGAAACTCATTCATCAGATCCCCATTCTGCCTCTGGAAGTGTGGCCCTAGCAGCAGGGAAACAGTCCCCAAAGAATAGTACACCAAAAGGGCAAACAGAAGAGGAAGTGAGTGATGGAGAAAGCTTCAATGAAGACGGGATCCAGTCTACAGACAGCAGCCTTGGGGACAGTGAGAATGAAGACACAGGACACCCTTAACCCCTTACACGTGCTCTGTAGGTTGAGGTTTGTTGGATTTCTCTTCCAAATTTCAGGGCACTTACACTAGTAAGTTCCACTAGTAGTGTTCCACGAATATAAGCATATTAATCAAATGTCTTCAACTTAGCAGTTTTGAAATTTTGATTCAAGTCAGTACGTAATAGAGAACTCAAAATATTTGTTAATTGACCATGTCAGGGTGCGAGTGAACTGGACAAAATCTGTTTTTCTGTCAGATCCTTGCATGTATACTGGTGTTTGACATTTATGATCACAGGAAAATTAAAAATTAATTTTGGAATATCGAAATTGGCATATGAATTTAAGGCACAAGTTTTTAAATACATAAAACTATTAAAGTATTTTTTTTCTGAAAAAGTGTGTCTTTTCTGAAGACTTAAGTTCTTTAGAATCTGGGCTTTTCGTATAATTTTCCTTTTTTTTTTCCCCCAAAAAGCAGAACATTAAATTTTATTGAACCTACAGTGTACAGGAAAATATTTGATAATTGTCCTAGTTAGTTTCATGGGGTTTTTTAATTTAATTTTTGCCATTGTTTGCATTAAATTTGATTTTGATTTCTGCAATATACAAAAGATTGCCCACTAAGGGTCATAGCTTCCATTACTAATAGGAAGCGTCCAGTGGGAGATGAACACATCCTTTGGTCTATCCTTCAGGTCGAGTTCTCAGTAACTAACTGTAGTGCCTGGTAAAGTGCTACCAAGTAGTGTCCCAATAAATGTCCACTCGGTCTTTCAGAAGGGATGCTCACGTTTTTATTCTTATAGACTGGCAATATGAAATCGAAGCTGCTACTTTAAATGCTTCCTTCACTCTAATCAGAGTAGCAATAATATTGTCATTATGGGGCTTTTGAGAAAGTGGAAGAGAATCCAGATCTATGAAGCCAGTTTTCATTTTAAGGGAAATATTTTTTGTAATCTCTGGAATTTTAATAAAGCCTTAGTGATTTTGGAAGATGAATCTTTTAAAGACCATCTCATTGGCTCAATTCTGGCTTTAATCATTTGCATTATCACATATATGGAATTCATTGGACTTGTATTTTTAGTTTTGAATCCAGTTTACTGTTTCCTGGTTGACTCGGTTTAGGAAAGAACCTGCTAACAGTGAGGGCTGTCCAGTAATGGAAAGGGTCACCTTATGATGAATTCTCCATCCTTGGAGGTCTTCAATGAAGGCAAATACCTGGTGGGGAGGGGATTCCTATCTCAGGGAGGGTTGCATTGAATGACTTCTGACGGTCCCTTCCAACTCAGAGTCTTTATCTTAAACTACCCGCAAATCTAAAAGTTTAAGAATGCAAGGAAGAACATCTCAAAACTTCAAGCCATGCATTTGTGGTCGCCATAGTTAGACAAGCCAATATTCGAAGTACAAGGTGAGTTTTGATTAAGAAATAAGCAATCAATGAGCTATGTTTTATCTTGGTTGCCAGTAGTGTATGTTATATTGTTGCTTAAATGAAAACCACATTATGAAATGCCTTGTTGTTTTGGCTTATTGTATCCTTACGGCTTTCTCGTAGAGAAATAACATACAACAACAAAGGAAACTGCAGCCTGCTGATCCTCGAGGCATCAGTCATCAGAGCTGAAGGGATCAACTTCAGACTGAGTCCAACCCCTATGCTTTTGCTGAGGATCCGTTCTTTCTGTCAAAATTAATCCCAGCATTTGGGTTTGCTTGTAGGCTAATATGAACGTTTTCATTTGAATCTTAAAATTGAAACATATTACTAAAGCAAAGCTTTATAAAAACATTGTATTCAAGAGACATTATCATTTTTGTGTGTAGGAAATGCACCTCTAAAATAGGAAGAAGAACTCAGTACTTGAAAGTTGATTTGAAGCTGGTTCCATTTTCTTTCTTTGCCTCCCCGGTGCCCGTCATTCTAGGCCCTTGCATGTGGGTGCCATTGGGGACCAGTTTGGTGTGTGGCTGCACTGAATTGTCCTGGCATTTGGTTTTCACAGTAGTTCTGTGGAGAAGGTGACAATGACTGTTACATTCCTTTCAAATCAAAAACTTATTTCAAGCATAAATGAAGTTAACATGTAAATGAACTCTTCCAATCATTCTGATTGATTCACCAATAGCATTCTTTTCTAGTTTGCCCTTTTTCTCTGTGCTGAGCATCCTCAGTCTTTAAATTAAAAAACTTATTAGCCCCTTAGAAACCGGGGAGCATCAAAATAGAACAGGATGTAAAGGATTTCGAAATACAGAGTCACTATTCCTTACCCTCATTTTTTGAAGTAGACAATGTATAAGAATGTAGGAAACTGGAATTCATCTCAGACATTTCAACTACTACCTGAAAATGCAAAGCAGTGCATCCTGGCAGAAGTGGGGACTCCTCGCCACAGGCTGGCCTAGTGCAGCCAGACTCTGACCTACCTCTTCCCCCTCTCTTCTGTCCCCCAGCCTTCCATTTATTGGTTGCACCTATTTGTTTACCCAGAAGATGAAGTTTTTGTGACATCATAAAAGCATTTCCAGTCTTGACTTGGGAGAAAGTTCCATGATCTTATCATTATTGTTGTTCAGTCATGTCCAACTCTTTGTGACCCCATTTGGGTTGTTTGTTTGTTTTTGGGGGGGGGAGGGGTTTGGCAAAGATACTGCCATTTTTGCCATTGCCTTCTCATTTTAAAAACGAGGAAACTGAGGCAAACAGGATGAAGTGACTTGCCCAGGATCACACAGTTATTAAGTGTCTGAGGCTGGATTTGAACTCAGGTCTTCCCGTTAGGTGGCACAGTGGATACAGCACCAGGCCTGGAGTCAGGAAGACTCTTTGCAAGTTCAAATCTGGCCTCAAACACTTACCAAAGCTGTGTGACCCTCAGCAAATCACTTAACCCTATTTGCCTCAGTTTCCTCATCTGTAAAATAAGCTGGAAAAGGAAATGGCAAACCACTCCAGTATCTTTGTCAGGAAAACCCCAAATGGCGTCACGAAGAGTCAGACACGACTGAACAACAACATTCATTAACTTACCCTCTTTTCTGATCATGGAGCTCAACTCGTCAAATTCTATCACGCAGCAATGAAATCTGATCACGTAGTAAATTTCTAATTTCTTGGGAGACAGCAAGTCCTATTCTCTAATACTGTATAGTACTTGACATTCCTACAGGGTGTTCCAAAAGTCTTGGTCCAGGGGTGAGCTATTTAAGCTTAACTCTGTATTATCGTCTTTGAAAAATTTGCAGAGTACTTTTACATCCATTTTCTCACCAGATCCTCCTCATAAGCAACAACCCTGTGATGTAGGTACTAGAGTTCATTCTGCAAAGTTTATTGTACAAATTGGGAAACTGAGGCTCTGAAAGGGTAAGTGACTTCCCCAGAGCCAGACAGCTGCTAAGTGTCAGAGGCAGGGTCTGAACCCATCTTATCTTCCTAATTTCAAGTCCAGAATTCTAGTCATAAGAATTTGCTGCCCCTCTCTCCCCATTTTCAGAAACGCTTCATTTGTGTGATTAAGTTCAGTTCAACATTGACTTGAGAGAATTTCTAAGCCTGATACTTTTCAAGGCACTCCTTGGCTATACAGAAAGTAGCTGAAAAAAGCTAAAGGGCCTAAGTGGGTGCACTAGCCAGAAATAAGAGGATTTTCAAAAATCCAAATGTACTGTAATAATAACAGCTTTCAGACGGGGATAGCAGGACATCCAGAAGCACATTATAACTGACGAGAGATTTCATTCCTTCATGAGGGATGATCAAATGTAAACAAAATGGCATCTTGCCAATATAGTCAGAATATTTTTGAGCAGATGTCTGCTTTAAAAAAAAAATATGGTTGCCAGTAAAATGAAATTTGGGGAACATTATCATATGCCCACTTCTTTTTCTTTCTCATTTGTGGTATCTCTCTATATGTCAAAACCTGAGATTTGTAAAAGCCCCTGCACTTTCCTTATCAAAACAGAGGAGATTTTTAGTGTAGCTAAGGCTTGTAAAGAAGCTGATGTTTTTAATTAGCTGAATTTCACTTAGAGCACTGATCAAAGAAGGTTCATTTCAGCCAACATTTGTTAAAATGCTTATTAGATGCAAGGCACTGCTTGGCATGCGAGTTACAACCCATTCCCCCTATTAAATTTTTAGGTCCTTAAAGACAAGGGATAAGGACTGCAGCAGCTTCAGATCAGCCCGCAGTCAGCACAGCTTAAATTGTCCCAGCGCCTTGCAAAGTTCCAATAAAATTTATGACTACTACAGCATAGCAGGCTCCTGAGCATAAAGGGAGGGAGGGAGCCCCCCAAATGCCCCCTTGACCTTATTTTAAAAGGGTTAATTGGAAGTAATGGTTTGGCTAAGGCTCTGATCGGCCTTGTGGCAAATCATGAGAGAAGCCACTAGGCTAAAGCAAATTAATTGAATAGTGTGTGTGTGTGTGTGTGTGTGTGTGTGTGTGTGTGTGTGTGTGTGAAGGTTTTCAAAAAACAAACAATGCATATTCTACAAAAATATGCTGCTTTTCCTTTTAAGGGAAGTTGAGGGGAAATTGGGGAAAAATTGAAAGAAGGCCTAAGATCCCCCAAAGGAGAAAGTCATTGTAGTAAGCTGTGACTTCAAATTCAAGTGCAGTTGTGGAAATGAAACTAAACAAATATTAAATTTCCATTTCAGAATTCCTCCTTCCCCACCCCCATTGAGTCTGACTTTTAAAATACATACTAGATACTTTTAATAGAATTTGTCTTTGCATTCGGGGTGGGGGGGGTGGAGAGCAATGCAGGCCAGAAATACTGGGCATTTTTATCTTTAAAAAGACTTACTTAAAAAACACATTAAAGGGGGAGAGACTACATCCACAATACCTTAGCTCCATAAATTAGGTCTGGGGGGAAATTCTGCAACAATTGCAAGTCAGCTCTAAATCATCACAAGCTTGAAGACTTTCAAGTAACTAGTTCGGGGAGGATGTTCTATTGCTAACACTCAAAGGCTTCAGGTGTTTTTACTTTGCATTTATGAGCAAACAAATAAGATCCTTGGATCCCAGTATGGCAGCTGTTTTCACTGCATTTTTAGGCAGTAAGTGTAAGCCGGCTCTCTGTGTTACATTGACTGGTGTGTGCTTATTTTAATGGCTTGGAAATTTCTGGTATTAAGGTGTAATGGTGGGAGTAGAAGGTACGAGGCCATTGGAAGAAAGTGCCGCTTGGCAATACCAGCGTTTTCACTGCCAGGAGTCCACACTCTGTACTAGCTCTTTATATGATTGCAAGGGTAGTGATGAGAGTGTTGCAATGGTAAGTTTGGAAAATGAGCTGTTTTGTTAC